TGGAATGAAACTTGGTAGGTGGGTAGGTCTTCATGAGACCTAGAAATGATTAGATTTTGGGCCCCCTGGCGGCTTTCCTAGGTACTGCAGCTGAACTTCCGGTTTTGATATCTCATGTTCTGGACATGCTAGGGTCACGAATTTTGGTTGTAGATAGCTCTTGGGGTAGGAAAAAGTGACATCGTAGTTCCGGTCCCTAGCGTCCTTGTTCTGGAACTGCAGGAGCAATTTGTTAGAAAAAATTGAAGGACGATAACTCAAGAACCGGTTGATGTATTGTCGTGATTTTTGGTATGTAGGTAGTTGAAGTGATGCTTTACATAATCAGATGGCAATTATGCAAATCAGGAGCTAATTTGCATAATCAATGAGGAAATTCTATAAATCTGCTTTGTTCGATAATAGAACTATGAAACACTTCTGACATCTACTTGAGAACGAGAAAAACATCTGAGGATATAGATTATGTAAATGAGGACCTAATTTGCATAATTAATGTCAAATTCTTATAATTCCATAGTTATAACTGCTGCACCCCGAATTTTATACTTGCCCCATTTGGAAGTTAAGTGAAGGTGAACATCAATAAACATAATTTATTCAAATCATGACCTCATTTGCATAATTTATGTGGAAGTGCTATAATAGCCTTTTTGTTATGATAAGGCTGTCATTGGATGGAGAATATGATCAACTGATATAATCCATGCAAATGAGGCTCTTATTTACAAAATCAATGATTAAAATTGTATAATTCGTCACCCGCAAGGGTTAACATCATTTGGCGAAGGTATGAGATCGTGGAACTCTTGTTTCTTTAATGACTTTATGATGTTAGGTCAGGTGGCGGTGTGGAGGTGGGGGGGAGGAGGGAAAAAAGGATAAAAACAGTCCATCGGTCTAAACATCTTTGAAAGTCATAACAGGATACAGGTGTGTTTACCGTTTTCCGATACGTGACGAGCTACTAAAAGAAACTGCGGAGGCATGGATGTGAGAGCACAGGCCTTACATCCAACAAGTTGTAGCGCGAATCCTTCTCTCCGCGGCAAAAACTCCCTCGGCAGCAAACCGTCCCTCGCGGCGGCATATTACTCGCGTCTCTCACAGAAAAAAAAAATACTAGTAACGCCGACTCCACCAAGACTGCGAAGGAGGCTAGCACAGGCCAGACTGTCAACAAACTACTCTTTGAGTCTGGAGTGTGTTCAAGTGCATGGACCAGCGATGTTGGAAAAGCTTGAAGCACCCACACCACGAGATGTCGCCATGCCTATGTAAAATGTTATGACTAAAATCGTCGCCCGGTATCGAAATTTTCTATTCAAAATTATTATCAAGAGCAAAGTCGATCTTATAAAGTCTAATCCTAATCATCGGCCACCTACGTATGGAATTTTTTTTACTTCAAAATTTCATGACTAGACATGTGACGGCACACTCAGTTTATATCAACTTATTTCATGCCGCCGCCAACGCAGAGGTCAAATACAGGCAAGGCCACAATACTCATTTTCACTTGAGTAACTTGAGGAAAGTCGCGTAACGTGCCTTTCCCAAGGGCTTACTTGCTTAAGCCCTTGGGCAAAAGTAAGGCCACACCAAGTAAATTTTATGGATGACGTCCGCGCGCGCATTGATTTTGGCCTCTTCCTAGAAAAAAAAACAAGAAATTTTGCTTCCTGTAACTATGACCAAAGTCACGGCAGTGTCGCAAGTCGTCAGATTGACGTGAAACCCGTAACGCGAGGTGTCGGAACAGAACAGAAAATTTTTCACTGTCCACTGTTCCACCTGATTTATTGCTGTTTTGATGATGAATAAAAAGACTTCTTGCTTGTTACACTGTGTCACCTCATTCAATTTGTGTCCTAACATTTGTCGTCTCTTAGTACATTTCTAATCTAGGCATCTTGTTTTTTAGGGCCCTTACTTGTTTTTTTTTCGCCCTCTCGCATTAGATTTAGGGTCTCCAAAGGACGTCATCCATAAAATTTACTTGGTGTGGCCTAAGCTTCCCAAGGGCACAAGATCGGTGGCATGTCAGAACTCGACCCCACGTACATGTATACTCATTTTCACGTGAGTGAGTGAGGAAAGTCGCGCAACGTGCCTTTCCCAAGGGCACACGATCGCGATCGGTGGCATGCCAGGACTCGACCCTAGCCTCTACCAGGCTTGAGGAGGCGGCTGGAAAGAGTAGAAATCGGCCAAAATAGAGAGATAAGCATGCCAAGGGAGTATGGCCGTTGAGAGAACAGTTCGCCGCCATCTTGCATCGGGCAAATTTCCGTCTCGTAAACGGTCGTCGCCTTTCCGAACGGTCGTCGCCTTTTTTCAGAACGGTCGTCGCCTTTCGGAGCGGTCGTCGCCATTTCCGAGCGACCGAACTTCAGTTCCGCGGATATTCGGATCTGAAGTTCGGTCGCTCAGAAATGGCGACGACCGCTCCGAAAGGCGACGACCGTTCGGAGAAAAGGCGACGACCGTTCGGAAAGGCGACGACCGTTTACGAGACGGAAATTTGCTTCGCCGCCTCTCTATTTTGGCCGATTTCTACTCTTTCCAGCCGCCTCCTCAAGCCTGGTAGAGGCTAACTCGACCCCACTCATTCCAGTTATGACCGCTCTAAAATTTACGGCATCTATCGATGATAGTATAGTTTGGCAGATAAACAAATTATTGGCCAGGGGAGTAAAGGGTAAGTAAAAATTTTCCCCGAGCAAAAATGAAACCCTATGGGCCAAACGAACTCCCCTGGCAAAGTGTCCTCCCTACCTATGTCAAGTGTATGTCTAAATAATTTATACTGCAAGTTACCACAGTTACTGTAATAATTCCTCTGGTGGAGACTAATCGTACTAAACATACCTGTTTTATACGGTTTCAACTCCTAAAACTGAGCGATAACAACAGAATCATTCCGCTTCACACATCACTACCCTCAGACAAGGAGGTTTCATAGGGAGCCCCGGGCGGGTAAATATTATAATACCATAAATTGTTACTAGTTTTACCTTCTGGAATTTACAGTTTCTACCTGGTCTAAGACTCTTCTCAACTAAACACTAACGTTGAACATGACTAACATCAGGCTTGTAAACGTTACCTAAAATAACATCCAGGATGACCAGATACGAAAGTTCCTCCGCGAAACAAGGATACCTTATGCAAGTACGTGCCCCTCCCCAACTCACCGGAACAAGTTGGCAGTAGTACGTTGAATAAATCCCGGCTGACCCTCGGTTGGCCATCCGTCATTAGGAAGCATCCATAAGAAAATAAGAGCCACTGGGAGGTTATACGCCATTTGAAATAAAACCGTAGCTCTAAAAACCTTGAGAGATGTCCCCTCTAGACCACTTGCTTGTCCGGGGGTGAGGGTGCCTTCTGCAGTGTGCCCACGCGAGATGCCTGTCCCTATTTGAGGGAATTGCACAGTTGAGGGAATTGCACATTCCCTCAACTGTGGAAACATGCCCTTGTCAGAGCGGTGCCAAAAAAGCCTAGACCCCAGTTCCCAACGGAGTACAGACAGATCTCCCTTGTCAGCAGTGTAGGCAAAGTTTTTGAAGGTTTGCTGAAAGATGCGCTCTTAAGGGATACAGTAAAATCCACAGTTATCTGAAAAACCGGACACAGATGGTGAAATGGGGGTCATGTCTGTCAAAATCTCATAACGTTTTAGCCGGTGTCCCTCAAGGCGGGCTGTTGTCACCGCTTCTGTTCGTAATATGCATCAATTCATTGGATGCCAGTATACCAGCATCTGTCGCCCCTGTAAAGTATGCTGATGACTTGACAACTTCTGAGGCACTGATGGGGTCTTTACCCGGCCAGACTCAAAAGGCACTGAACTCTATTGATGACTGGGGCAGGTCCTTTTCTCTTGCCGCAAACGGGAAGAAAACCAAAGACATGGTTATAAGTGCACGGAAAGAGCCCAATGTACCTATCCCTCCCCAACCCACAATATCAGGCCAGGTGATCGAAAGAGTCACTTCCTTTAAACTACTCGGGGTCTATATCGCTGCTGACCTGACTTGGGACGCCCACATTGAGTACATGATGAACAGAGCTCGACCTAGAATGTATTACCTCAGTGTTGCTAAGAAGGCGGGGCTCCCGATAGATGTCCTCATGCAGATCTACCTGACTTTCATAAGACCTATTCTTGAATATGCTAGCCCGGTTTGGGGCGGACTTCCCAAACACCTGTCAGACTCACTAGAATCCAATCCAGAAGCGCTGCCTCAGGATCATCGGGCTACCTGCTGACGCACTCCCTACCCTCGCAAACAGACGCGAGAGAGCTACACTGAGAACACTTGAAAAGTATCCTAAAGGACAGTACTTCTCCCCTCTGGGGATTCATCACTACCCCCTTGGCCAGTCACTACAACCTCCGCAGGGGAAGTCGGCATCAGTCAATGAGAAGTAAAAGCAAAAGACATTCAATGTCCTTTATACCACGAGCTTTGAGACTCTACTACAGTAACGACACTCAGTTGTAAAGACTCTATGCCACGAATATTTACATGAACTGCTTAAGCTACATAGGATCTTCTCACGTTTTGATTGACTGCCACTTAAAGTACTGAGACTCCATTAGTTGACTAAGCTTATATAACTACATCTTGTTTAATTACTGCTTTTAATGTGATTTTAAATTTGTTGCATAATGATTTTAGAATTGTACCTGTTTTAAAATTCAGTCTAAGTCTGTATATCAATTGGCTGTAAATAAGCATGCATTTCAGCCGTCAGGCTGCAATATGCTTCTCTGAATAAACCAATTTGGAATTTGGAATTTGAGGGTCTGCATGGGGGGTCCTGATTACGCTTTACGCTAAATTTATGAAGGCTCGCAACGCTTTACGTTAAATTCCAAAAGGCCAGCAACGGTTTACGCTAAATTCTAGCGGCCGGTCTTCCTGACTGCCTCCTTCAATACCCCGAGTTGTTCGTCTATTTTGTTTATCAACTGACTAATAGTCACTTCGATGTCTTGAAACACTGACGACTCCACATTGCAACGATACTGGGTCAGAATCGACCCCGTATGCAATAAAATGCGCACAATCAGGGGCGTCGCGTGAGCCATGGTGGGATTGTACCGCACACATGGACCCGGACATGCCAGATGGGACGGGCATGGGGCAAGAAAGGGACAGACAACAGTCAACATGTCATTCGCTGGTTGCTAGTTCGTCCGCTACGGCTTACGAAAAATGGGAGTCCAGACTACGATTTACGGGGAATTTTTAGGCTCGATTACGCTTTACGTGAAATACGCTGGCTACGCTTTACGAGAAATTTTTGCCTCCTCACTACGAATTACGGTAAATAAAGTAACTTCCCTACGAATTACGGGAAATTAAAGAGGCCCGCCCTACGCCTTACGGAAAAGAGCATGCAGACCCTCCTATTTATGTGTCGTTTCGCACATGGGTGTCAGCTGGACAGCT